CCCAATATTGTCAAACAAGTAACAATCTCCAGAATTATTCTGATAAAATAATGCGAGACATGAACAATTATTCAGGCAAGAGGTCTTGCATCCATTGAGATCAGCATTCAGCGAGGGTGAGACAAACCCAAGCGCAAAGTAGCCAATTCCCTCCCCTGCATTAACGAGATCGATTGAAGCCTTCGAGTGATCGCCAGGAGAACCCAACCCCGAACTACAATTTGGATGAGAAGTGAGGACTCAGAGACACTGTCACATGTTACCAATATAACAGACTACACACGGGTCACAAGGCTCTGGCGTACTGCATGCATTACTGGGTATTTTCACGGGAGAATAATCAGGCGTTCCTCCACTGCCCAAGCTGGAGAACGTGATGATCCCGTCTTTTCCCAGGACGGCGATCCAAGTGGCATTAGGTTCGCTATCACCCGAAAAGGGGAATTGCCACAGCAAAGTAGAATCTCTCATCGTAGAATCTCCACGAATTCGCAACCATCGTGGCTGAGACTACTTGACAACCTTTTTGGTTCTTCAGATGTCTGCTGTCCTTCCCCATCGACCAGTATGGTTGAGGCGTTATATAACCAGCAGAAAGGATCATATCGCCAGATTTAATCTCGAGAGTGTAGGTCAAGTTCTTGGACCCGGGGCTCGTGAGCCTCATCCCTTGTGTAAAATCCTGGTTCGACAAGAGCGTATCGGTGGGATGGTTGAAACTCTGCCAAACCACTGTACTGTCCTTCCCGAGCATAACCAGGTTTCCTGAATCCCGCAACTCTATCGCGGAAACTCCTCTGCCGCTGGTATTAGTTGACCACACCGTGCTTCCTGCTTTCTGTAGAAATGCGTTGCCGTTCTTATCGAAGTCAAATGTATCAGAATTCGTAACCGGGTTGTCCCTATTTGCAGACCAGACTACGGTGTTGCTGCGGAAATGAACCACAGCTAACGAGTATAGAGTAGGACCGGAGGCCTGGACAAAGGCGAAGCCGAAAATCGAGCTGTCGATCGAACCCATTTGAGTCGCTTGAAATCCTGTGTATATCTTGTCTATATTTTGAGCACCCTCCAATGAGATGCTTGACAGCAAGACGACACAGAGCCACAAATTTCCAGCAACAGCCATTGACCTTGAACTAACAATTGTTCCACCATCAAGGATGAGAAACAAGAACTTCAATCGAAGGAAACATATCGATGGTGATACTCGAAATTCAAATGCTGAGGCTAACTGTGCCATCGATCCCATATCTCATCATTATTTCTTTTATATGATCAGAAAAAATAACCAGCTAAAAGACTTGGATTTCATTCCACCATGCTCCTCCTGAAAACCTTGAAAATGCTCTGCGAAGTGTAGAATTACAGATGAATTTGCAGCAACTATACAGAGGTTCGCTCATACCACCTAGTGATCGAATCAAAACAACCCAAAAGCCAAATAGAAACTCATTAATTTAGTTGAAAACTTTTTGGTAATTTGCCAATATAGTCCATCAAGCTAATTTTGGTTAGAAATTGCTGACGTAGATGCCGACCATCTTATGTAACATGACTAACGCTGACATAGACAATTTTTGCAATTTTCAAAATATCGTTTGAATTTTTTCATAATTTTTTTGTTTTCTTTTTTTTTTCCTTTCCTTTTCTCTTTTCCTTCTTCATAATTTGCCAAGATAGTCCATTCAGCTAATTTTGGCTAGAAAATGCTGAAGTGGATGTCGATCATCCTATATGGCACGACTAGCGCTGATATAGATAATTTTTGCAATTTTCAAAATGTTGTTTGAATTTTTTCATAATTTTTTGTTTACTTTTTCTTTTTTTTCCTTATTCTTCCATTGGTCGCTAAGCCTCTTGGATGGTTAATGAGGGCCGACCTCACTGGCCTCTAGCGAGGCTCGCCCTTGTAGGGGCGAGGTTGCCCAAAGCTGGCAAGGCCGACCTTTGCCGGCCTCTGGCGAGGGGCGACCTCTGTAGAGCCTTGCCCAAAGATTGCGAGGTCGACCCTCGCTGGCCTCCGGTGAGGCTCGACCTCATTTGATCTAACGAGGTTGAGCCTCGCTGGCCCTTGTCTGTGGTCGGTTGCCAACCATAGTGGTAGGCTTGCAACCAGCAGAGGAAGAATGAAAAGAAAAGAAAAGAATAAAAAAAAACTAGAAAATTTTTAAAAAATTCAAAAAGTATTTTGAAGAAATTGCAAAATTATTTCAAATCAAAATTGGCCGGATATACTAAATTAGTTAAATTGAAAGTTTATACTGAATTGGCATAAATGCAATATGTTTTACTTTTTGATAAATATATCTTACGAGTAGGCAAGTAAACTCGCACTTACCGCCACTATTTGGTCAAGGAAGAATCCTGCTTAAAAGTGCCTAATGGATAAAGTAAAAACTTTGAAGGGCTAATGACTTTTCATTGAGATGCCGTTAGAATACAATCCTTAGGAGTCCAACAAGCTGGCTAGGAATAGGAAATCCCTATTTGTCAACCTTACCATATGGGGGGGGGGGGGGGGGGGAGGGGGGCATGACTTGTTTCGAGAAGCACCGGTAGATTCTTATTCAAAAGGATATTCTTAGGGAGAAGAACAGTAGAAGTGCCAAAACTTATGTACAGCGCTCATTTTAATGTTAAAAGTTTTTTTTGGATCACTTTAGTGTCAAAATTTTTGAAAAACGATCACTTAAGTGCCAACTTCGATCAGTTTGACTGAAAATCCAACGTTATATTTTTTTTGGCAAAAGTACACTATAAGTGCCATAACTTGTGTACGGCGATCACTTTGGTGCCATAACTTTTTTCCAGATCACTTTGGTGCCAATTTTTCTGAAAATCGATCACTTTAGTGCCAAAGCTGACATGGCACGCCGGAAATATGATGTGGCTCTTTTTTATTAATATTCGATGCTGAGATGGCTGGCCGGAGCAGGCCGAAGAGTCCAGTAAACCCTTATAGCGAAAACGATGTCGTTCAACCTTTCTCCCCCAAATATAGGAACCCTAAATCGGCTAATTGGACATATTCCCCAATTACAAACCCTAACCGGCCATATTATTTCCTTGTTTTCCCGAAATTGACAGCCAAAGGTTACAAATGGATGGCAAGAGCTTGATCAGCGGCTCAAATTCGTTTGAACGAAGTGAAGAAGAAGGTCGGTTCTTTTGCTATTGTGGATTACCAAGTCCAAGAAGAACATCTTGGACTCGATTGAACCCCGGGAGAAGATTCCATGGATGCGCCAGGTATAGAGAAGGCTCGAAGTGCAAATTCTTCAAGTGGGTTGATGCGAAATTTTCAGATCGAGCAACAGAGATGATAGTGAAGCTACTTGAAGCTCAACATCAACCTCCACCTGCATTAATGGACGAGTTGGACGATGTCGACTCATTGCAAGCTGAAATGAAGTCTTTAGCATCTCTGGCCAACCATTTGAAGAAAGAAGTTCGAAGGATGAAAATCGAAAGAAAGTGTTATCGATTGTTGATTGTGTTATTGATATTTTTCATAGCCTATTTTATGGTCAAATGTAATGTCAGTTATGAGCAAAAGTTTCTTAGTCTACCATAATTTAAGATAGGTTTGTACTATGTACGTGTATTTGGCAATTTGTAGCTACGGTTGTGTTATTAGTTTGCTGCAATTTTTGTATGTAACAAGAGGTTTGCTGCAATCTATGACAAATGGAAGGTTGGAATTTATTGGTTCTCAATGTTGAGTTGCTTAGTATTTTGTTGCTGCATATTTTGATGCAGTTTTGCCTCATTGGCAGCATATTTATTGCATATTTTTGCTCATTTGCTGTCTTTTGCTGCACTTCCTCATTTGCAGCATATTTTTGCTCATTTGCTGTCATTTGCTGCACTACCTCATTTGCAGCATATTTTGTTGCATATTTTTGCTCATTTGCTGTCATTTGCTACACTTTCTTATTTGCAGCATATTTTACTGCATTTTTTTGCTCATTTGCTATCATTGCTTCACTTCCTCATTGGCAGCATATTTTTGCTCATTTGCTGTCAATTGCTGCACTTCCTCATTTGCTTCATAGTTTTGCTCATTTGCTACACTTGCTCATTTGCTGTATATTCACTTGCTCATTTGTTGTATTTTTTTCATCTGGTTAGATGGTTGCATATTATGGAGTAAGGCTCACTACTGAAAAATGAGGTCTTCGCAACTCTGCGTAGAAGAAATTATGAAGTCGTCACAAGTTCGGCGGTTGACATTTTAGTGCCAAATGTTTCTAATCGTGATCACTTAAGTGCCAGTCGTGGTTCAAAAGTGATCACTTAAGTTCTAGTCGTGGTTCAAAAGTGAGCACTTAAGTGCCAGTCGTGGTTCAAAAGTGATCACTTAAGTTCCAGTCGTGGTTCAAAAGTGATCACTTAAGTATCAATTGTGGCCGAAAGTTGATCACTTAAGTGTCATGCCGTGTGTTTCTATGAAAAATGGAGACTTTGGTTCCAACAAACCAATCTTTAAACCGAGATCATTCCATAATCAAAGCAAGAATCGTACCAAGACTTGCTCACCAAAGACCAAAACCACTCCAAACCATACTCATAAACTGATTCAAACAGCCCCCAAACCATATTCAATCACCAGCTCCAAACAACCCCTAAACCATATTCAAAACCGGTTCAAAATGCTTGCACCAGCACGTGCTGGCGTGCTGGTGCAAGCACTATACTGCACTCCCAAATATGACAAAATCAGCAGCTACCATACTATACTCCCAAATAGTACAAAATCAGCAGCTAGTACAAACACCATACTGCACTCTCAAATAACACAAAATCAGCAGCTGGTGCAAGCACCATATTGCACCTGAAAATAGCACAAAAAACCAGCACTAGCAGCACTAATTCCCACCCTCCCCACCAACTGCATCAGTAAGTTTCTTTGAATATTAACTTACTGATGCAACTTACAAGCACCCCACTACACCAGTACTATATTAAAACAGAACAAACACGTGTGCAAAAATATGGAAATCACAACCACCTTAACCACGGTAAACATCGAATTTAGTCATTACACACAACATCCCATTAGTCAATAACATTCCAGGACTACAAAAAATCAACCTCCTATTAGCCAATATGGTAAACCTCCCTAATTTCACAAAAACTAACAATCACCTCAACACCCTTCCATTAGTCAATAGTGATAAGTCCACCATTTCCTTTTCCTTTCAACGGCTTCTTGAATTGATTTATAATTCTTTGACTCTTTCGAACTGGATGAACTGCAGGTTGTTCTTCTTAAGATGCAGGTTCTTCAATAGCTGGAGCTGCTTCTTCTTGAACTGCTGGAGCTGCATCTTCTTCAACAACTGGAGCTGCTTCTTCTTGAATTGCTTGAGCTGCATCTTCTTCAACAGCTAGAGCTGCTTCTTCTTGAACTGCTCCAGCTGCATCTTTTTCAACTGCTGGACCAGCAGGTTGTTCTACTGGCCTTCTTGCTCGAGATTTCTTCTTAGGCGCAGCAACTATCTTTTTCTTACTGGTGTTGGTGGCTGTTTTGGAGCTGTCAGCATGTGCTGGTTGATCAGGAACTAGTGTTGAGTTTTTTGTTGGTGGCAGTTTACGAACACTCTTCTCTGCAGCCACCCTTCTTCTCTTCGGACCAGCTGCTTGCGATGTTGGTTGGATTCTTTTTGGTGCAGCTCTTGACTCTTGGCTTGGGCCAACTTGAGATATGAGAACCTCTGAACTCCTCCCAGGCTACAACATAATCATGAATGAGAAGAAGCAATATTGTCATAAAAGTGAAAAACTCACGAATGAAATGCATGAGATGTACAAAACTTACATGCAAAATAGTCATTCCAGTATTGAAGTCCGTATAAATTCCATAACCATATTGCCTTAATCTTCTGCCGAGGACCCCTCTTGTTTGATATGGTGCCTCACTTTGAGGAACCTGAGCTGCTTGTTCAGTTGGTTTTCTTCTCAACTGATAAGAACAAAACAATGTCAACTAAAGCCAAAGTCTGCTCACTAAAGATTAATACAAATACATATAGCTTACTGGATATTTTCTCCTAGCCTGTGCAACAGTCGAGGAGGAGGTTGCCCTTAAACCTGGGCCTCCGGTTGGCTCTTCAGCTGGTTCTTGAACTTGGCCTTCAGCAGGCCCTTCAGCTAGACAATCAGCATGCCTATCAGCTAGCCCTCCAGCAGGCCTTTCAGCAGCCCCTTCAGCTGGTTCTTGTGCTGGCGCTGCACTTGATCCAATTTGAGTCCCTCCACTTGGCTGTTGAAGCAACTGATGTTGCTTCTTCAAATGACAACCACTTTTATTGTGACCTACCTCACGACAATATGAGCATTTTATCTCTACACCTGACCTGCTCATCTTCTTACTTCTGGGCTCTCCCTCCTGCTTTCTTCGTCTCCTTTTAGGCCTTCCCATTTGTTTCTTAAGTGGTAAAGGATGAGGGGCTTCATGATTTGTCGGCTCCCAGAATTTTGTACTTCTAATAGGCTGCATCATGTGCTGGTACGCAGCAAGATATGTGCTTTTGTGGTAGTAACCATGCAGGTAATCCTTGGGATTTTGGTATTTCGCTTGGATGGCACAAATGGCATGTGTACAGGGAATTCCAGAAAGTTGCCAAGCTCGACATGAGCACTTTAGTTTGTCCAATTGGACAACATACTTGTCTGTTTTTTCCATGACCTCATAGCCATCATCTCCATTCCAGATAGGATGACAGAACCTACTACTCGCCAAGTTGTCATCCAATCTTTTAGCAATCCTAGGACCACACTGTCCAGTCCACTTCGCAGCCTCATCTCTTGTTTTTGCAGCCTTGTCATGACTATCACTCGAATATCCTCAAGCATGCTGATGAATGGTTTGCACCTCACCTCTAAAATTCTGCCATTGAAGGCTTCACTAAGATTGTTATCAATGATATCGCTCTTGAATTCTTCACTGAAGAAGGCCTTGCACCAATGCCTGGGTTCAGTTTGAAAAAGTGCTTCATAACCGTCCTTCGTCAAGTCAAGCAGCTGCTGTTTGTGAATTCTAAAATCAGCCATGTTGGTGCTCTTAGCTATCATCCAAAATTGCTTCTGTAGTTTCTCCCCTTTGTAGATCTTTGCCCAGTTTGCATATATGTACCTCGCACACATCCTATGTTCAAAGAAATGGCATCAACTCTCACTAGAGCGGGAAGAAGTCCCTACAAGAATTCATACATCAAGGCATTAATAAAGGCATGTGCAAGATAAAATGTCATAAATATTGTTTGTGTAGTTGCACCAGCATTACCTTTTGTTGGTCGCTCATGAATGCCCAACCTCCTCCATTAGTGATCTCAAGGTCCGCCATCAAATTTTTCAGGAACCACGACCAAGTGTCCTTGCTCTCTACCTTCACAACAGCCCAAGCAATTGAAAACATCTTATTATTGCCATCCCTCCCAATGGCAGCCAACAATTCTCCCTTGCACACACCCTTCAAGAAACATCCATCTAACCCTACGACTCGTCTACAACCAGCAACAAATCCCCGCTTGCATGCATCAAAGCAAATATAAATTCGGTCAAAGTTAGTCCCATGGTTAGGCAGTGGCCGCTCCACAACCTCAACATAAACTCGACTACCCGGGTTTTGCAGCCTACATTCTCCAACATATTCCCAAATTTGACCATATTCTTCCTTGTACCTCTCTAGAATTTTTCTCATCACCTTATACTTGGCTCTTTTACACTGATTGAGTGACACGTTAATCCCTACCTGCTCCCTCACCAACTGCTTCAGCTGAGCACTCTTCACATCAGGCATCGCTTTGATGGTATCGAAGAAGTGCTTCGACAACCAAGCACTCGTTACCCTTTTGTTGTCAAACATGATGGAACAAGTATGTTCCTCCTGTAATGACCTAATTTGGAATGACCCGTCCCTCTTTGAACGTGCGCCATATATCTTCCACGAACAACTAGATTGAGAACACTTTGCTCTAACATAGTCCTGCATATTTCGAGTGAACTGAAGAGTCCTCTGTTCAGCTATTGAATACTTGATAATCCCTTCTTTGAATTGTTTGGCATCAGAAAATTTCAGACCTACAGTCAACACAGAAGAAGAAGAGCCAGGATTGTATAACGGATATTTACGTTTCCTTCTGCGCACAACGGGATCATCATCTTCATGATGATTTTCAGAATTATCATTCTGTTCATCAGAGCCACTTTCTTCATAATCAGTGTCATTACCTTCAGCTGGAGCTCCATCAATGCTATGTCCTGGGTCAGCTTCACGCAATCCTCCAAGTGCAGCTGTTGATTTTTTTCCAAATTCCCTTTGCTTTTGCCTTGACTGTGCAAGTTCCTCATCATCATCTTCACTTGGTAAATTTACATTTGTCACACCCTCATCATCTGATTCACTAGATGCAGCAACTTCCCACGACAATCCAGTGAACTCAAATCCAGTGAACTCTTCACTCGCTGCATGGCTTGCCTCCCTCTCATCCCTCTCATGTCCAGCTTCATCTATAATAGAACTAGCACCAACCTGAGTACTAGGTAAAGCAGCACCATCACCTACGTCTCCTCCCTCAGCCCCTTCATCAGATTCACCATCACTATAGGACTCAACGTACACAATAGCTTCTTTTCCATGAAGATAATGGTAGATGATATCCTTAACACCATTATCATCATGAAAGTTTCTAATACCGTCCTTCAAGCTGCTTCCAGGAACACAATAATGCAAACTTCTTATTTTACATCTTAATTGTTGAACTATATCCCTCATGAGATTAATATATGATGCCTTGCTTCTATCGAAATAAACAGTACCTTCAAGTCCCCCAAAGTATTCCCACTCGTCAGTGCCAATGACAAATTCTCCTCCATAGCGAACAATGATGCCGATAATTGTGTCTTTATCCCCCATATCGACCCTGTATTGAAGGAAAAAAGCCAAAAAAATTCAATATTTTAGCTTTCGGGACCACACCACATAGGAAAAAGAGCACAGCTTCACATGAAGGTCCCCCACATGGTCGACAAGATTGAAAAAGCCACCATCAGACCACATGGGTGACAATGACAGAGGTCCCAACATGGACCACGCCTATCGCATATACTCAAATCCAGCACCAACACAATCGAATCCACTTCAAGCCCTAATATCCGAACAACTAGCCATAATTTATGAAGTTCAAGCTTTAATTTCAGAAGTTCAAGACCTAATTTCAAGTTCGAGCCCCAATTTCCCAAGTTCGAGCCCTAATTTCCTACTTTTAACCCTAATTTCCCAAAGGCAGCCCTAATCTACCAATTAATTGAGTGAAACATAGGACAATGAAGCACAATGTGTCGATCAATTCAGCAAAATAGAAATTAACAGCCCTTATTTGAAGACCGACCTTCGTAAATTGCCACGGAGACGAGACCGACGCCGACGGGACGAGTGATGCTCAGTCCACGGGATGAGGGAGCGACGCCGACTGACCGCGAGGGGAAGGTAAGAGACGGCGTTGGCGACGGTGACGGTGATGGCGACGGTGACGGCGACGAAATGAGGGCGCCACGAGCGACGAGCGACAGGCGACGGCGACGGCGACTGGACGAGGGAGACAGAGCAAGTGTGACGAGCGACACGATGCTAAGACCTTTGAACTGAGCGACGTCGTTTGCTGTCCTAAATGGAACGACGTCGTCCTTCTTGTCCACGTGGACTAAGCGACGTCGTTTTGCTCGTCCACGTGGACATCAAATGTTGACCCCAATATCCACGTCACACTCTTTTTTTAAATAAAAATGCCAGGTCAGCTTTTTGGCCGGAATTTTGGTCGGAGTCACTAAAGTGATCGATTTTCCTCCGACTTGGCACCAAAGTGATCCGAAAAAAAGTTATAGCACCAAAGTGATCGCCGTACATAAGTTATGGCACTTATAGTGTACTTTTGCCTATTTTTTTTAATTAATTTTTGAAGCTGATGTGGCTCGCCAGAGGTTTAGTCGGCATGTACACATCAAAACGACGTAGTTTAGCATGTACACTTGGATTTTTTAAATATTTTTTTTTCTGATTTTTCTTTTTTTCTTCTTTTTCTACCTCTAGTCACCGCCGATGACCGAAGGCTGGCCACCGGCCATGGCCAACCGCCTAGCCTCTTCTGGCCCAGACGAGGGCGGGTGAACCCCTGCAAGGGTCGGCCTTGCCTCGCAAGGGCGAGGGTGAGCCCCGGCGAGGGCTTCCCTCGCCAGATCCGGCGAGGCCGACTGTCGCCCAGACCATGACGGCCTCGCTGGGCATCACCCGAGGGAAGGAGATGCCCGGCGAGGCCGTCGTGGTCTGGGCAATGGCTAGCCTCGCCGGATCTGGCGAGGGGAGCCCTCGCCAGGGCTCACCCTCGCCCAGGCGAGGCGAGGCCGACCCTCACCCTCGCCCAGGCGAGGCAAGGCTGACCCTCGCCAGATCCGGCGAGGCCGGCCGACGCCGTGGCCACGGTGGCCTCACAGGGCGTCGCCTTCCCCCGGGCGACGATTGGCCTCATCGAATCTGGCGAGGGTCGGCCTTGCCTCGCCTTGGCGAGGGCGAGCCCCGGCAAGCCGAGGTTGACCCTCACCTGATCCAGCAAGGCCGGCCGTCGCTCGGGGGAAGGTGACGTCCCGCGAGGATGCCGTGGCCCTGGCGACGGCTGGCCTCGCCAGATCTAGCGAGGGTCGGCCTCACCTCGCCAGTCCGGCGAGGCCGCCGGGCCTCACCCTCGCTCAGGCGAGGCGAGGTCGACCCTCGCCGGGGCTCGCCCGCCCTCACCTAGGTGAGGGTCGACAAGGCCTCGCCTGTAGTGGGCGACGGCGGCCTCGTCCGAGCGAGGCCAGGCGGCTGGCCGTGGCCGGCCTCCGGTCATTGCCGGTGACCAGACGAAGAAGAAGAAGAAAGAGAAGAAAAAAAGGAAAAAAAATCAGAAAAAATATTTAAAAAATCTAAATGTACACATGAAAATGCCACGTACACTAATTTTTTAAAAAAAAATCCAACTAAGATTAAAATTTTAATTATAAAAGCCACGTATTAATTTGACCGGAATTTCTCGCCGTTGGCATTTAAGTGATCGTTTTTCTCCGATTTGGCACTTAAGTGAGCCGGCGAAAATTTTTGGCACTAAAGTGAGCGTTGTACACAAGTTTTGGCACTTCTAGTATTCTTCTCATCAGATCAGTTAAAAAATTTTGTGAGCAAGAAAAATGCTACAGTTAGAAACCACTTTGTTGAAGCATGAGAAGTACGAGAGAGATTTCAAGGCTAAGCTGTTGATTATATCCTTGATAAGTTTAGAGTATTGGAATGGATACGTTTCTCATTTGACACAAGGCCAATATATAGATACAAGAAAGGGTATAAGCGCAAATACATATAACCCTAAGATATTCAATATAACCTTATATATACAATATATCTAACACCCCCCTCAAACTCAAGGTTGGTTAACCAAAGAGAGTTTGGAAAGAAGAGCAGCAAAATGTTGTGATGTAAGAGATTTGGTGAAGAAATCGGCAAGCTGAGCTGCAGAGGCTACAAAAGTGAGAGAAATGACACGTGTCTGAAGCTGATGACGCGTGATGTGGCAATCGATGTCAATGTGCTTGGTACACTCATGAAAGACTAGATTTGTAGCAAATGTGAATAGCACTCTTGTTGTCGCAGTGAAGAGGAATGGGAGTAGAGGAGGCAACAGCCAGATCAGCAAGGA